CATAGGGTTAATCTAAGGGCCTAAAATGTTGGAATAGGGTTCGGGGGGGTGTTATGATAGTATTGTTATACAGGGACCACAAGGGGATACTATTAGTAATTATTCTGGCCCTGATATTAGAGGGTTAGAGGGTTGGAGGGTTTTGGGGTTATAGGGTCATAGGGATGTAGGGTGATAGGGGCATGGGGCTATACTGTGCAGGGTTTGAGTTTTGTCGCCAAAACACTCCTCAACGAGAGCCCATCCCCTACTAAACCTGAGTTCATGACTGCTTGGAGGTTCTAGGAGCTAAGAGTTTAGGGTTTATAGGTTTATAGGGTTTAGGGGTTTAGGGTAAACGGTGCTAGGGTTTAGGGTTTTAGGGTTAGGGAGATCTTGACGGCTTGGAGGGTTTACGAGTTTACTTTAGGTATTGTCGGCTTGTAGGCCTCTCGGCCCCTCAGAGTTTTTGGTGGGAAGTTTCGGTTTGGGATGTAGTGGCTACATTCACGGTGCCGAATTTAGGGTTTAGGGTTTAGGGTTTAGGGTTTAGGGTTTAGAGACCTTAATGTAAGTACCCCCCTCTAAAGGGCCCGAAGCCCCTCGTCCCCAATGACGCATTCCGAGCTTGCAGGAGGAGAAGAGAGCCTGGGCCGCGCCCTCGGTGTTTGGGGTTTAGGGCTAAACCAGGGTTTAGGGTTTAGGGTTTAGGGTTTTAGGGCCAACTTGTGGAACCTTGTTGGTCCGTACTGCTTGCTACCACTGCCGCACGAAGTTCTAAAAACCCGTGCCTCACAAAGCTGTTCCTGCTTTGGATCCCCTGGACTGATCCCTGAAGCCTAAAGCCCTAAACCCCTGAGCACCCTAAAACCATAAAGCCCTAAACCCTGGAACCCTAAAACCCTAAAATCCGAAAATCCTGACGCGCCGCAGACTTGATTTGGAGTCGCGTCCGAGGCGCGGGCGCGACAAGCCTACTCAGAGATATGGGCCTTGCGCTCAGGGGTTTGGGGATTTCGGATAACCCTAAACCCTAAACCCTAAATCCAAAACCCTGGGTTTAGGGGGTTTCGGGGTTCTTCGTTTAGCGACCCTGCGCCTCAAAGAGCAAAGCCCTAAGACACAAACGCCATAGCCCTGAACTTAACTGGTAATGCCACCAAACTCCCCATCTTATTTGGTTCTACTGCAACCTACCCTGAAGACCCAAACCCTTAAACTTACATCCCAGGACTTAAAAAAAGGGCTTAGGGGAAACCCTTATCCCTACTCACCTTAAACCCACGTGGAATCTCAACGTCTCCTTGGGTCTCGTCATTTGGTAGCAAAGCCAAACCCTAAACCCTAAACCCTAAACCCTAAACTCCTGGTCTGGGCCTGGCTCTAAACCTAGGGTTTGGTGACTTGGTAGCCCAGTGGTACTCGCATTGTACTTATTAACCGATTATAACTGCACTTATAACCCATCTGTAAGCCCCTTGCGCGTCCTAACATGCTTATAAGTGCAGTTGGAAGTTCAGTTATAAGTGGATAACAGATGCCATGAACCTCCAAGTACCCTTTTGCCCCTTCTTTTGGGTTCTGACCCCAAAAGTGCTAGCCTCATTAGAACATGGGGTTACTGGGCTGAAAAGGGGATTAGGGTTCAGGATTTAGGATCCAGGGTTTAGGGGGTTTGGGGTTGAGACTTCAGAGGTCTAGGGCTTGGGGGGTCTAGGGTAAAGGGTTTAAGGTTGTCTTGGGTTTCGGGAATTCAGGGTTTAGTGTCTAGGTATAAGGTTTGAGGTTCAGAAAAGCACGTGCTATTCAGTCCCCGAAGCCCCTATTCAAGGCTCATGGTTTTGGGCCCTAAACCCTAAACCCTAAACCCTAAACCCTAAACCCTAAACCCTAAACCCTAAACCCTAAACCCTAATGAACCCTAAGCCCTATATCCCCAAGTCCGGGCTTGAAGCTCCCTAAACCCCAAGCCCTATGTGCCCAAATCTGGGCTGTAACCCTAAACCCTAAACCCCAAACCCTAAACCCTAAACCCCAAACCCTAAACCCTAAACCCTAAACCCCAAACCCTAAACCCTAAACCCTAAAACCTCGGATGCCCAAGGAGTATGCGGGCCGCCGCGCCCATGAAAGTGCCGAGCGCCTGGATGCGCTCGCCGCTCCGGCAGCGTTATGCCCTTGGGGGTTTAGGGGTCTAGGGTTTAGGGTTTTGGGTTTTGGGTTTTAGGGTTTAGGGTTTAGGGTTTTGAGGGTTTAGGGTTTAGGGTTTTAGGGTTGAGGGTGTAAAGGGCTAAAGCCTCTAAGGCACTGCTGGAACCCGCTTTTGTGCCTCCTTGTGTCGCACCCTCCTTTTTGCGAGGGTTTGGGCTTATAAGGTTCGACTGTGAGAGCCGAAAGCTACCTTTGGTGGTGTTGCCGAAGAATCCTATATGGGGAGACTGCAGAATGTAAATCTACAGTAGGGTTTGGGTAGAGCATAACCAAATGAGTTGTCTTGGCACTGCGGAAACAGAATGGAATGGATCGATGGAATACACGGAACGAACCTGAGTATTAGCACACATTTGCGCACTGTGGTTAGGCCAGCTCAAGTTCCACGAGCGTAGCGAGAAGATTTTGATGCCCTAAACCCAGTACCCTTGTCAGGCTAAACCCTAAACCCAAAACCCTGAGCTCCCTCAACCTTATAAACCCCTAAACCCTAAACCCTAAACCCTAAACTCCCTCTACCCAAGCCTGGCAAAAAATCCCCTCCCCCAAGCGCCAGGAGAAGCGGCAGATCTCCCGGCGTGAGGAAGCCACCATGCGGAGGTTGGTAGCGCTTGGGTTTGGGGTTTAGGGTTTAGGGTTTGGGGTTTAGGGTTTAGGGTTTAGGGTTAGGGTTCAGGGTTTAAAGGCTGAATGGTTTATGGTTCAATCTGGGTTACATGGTCCGCAGGGCTTAGGGTGTTTAGGGTTTAAGTAAGGTTTAGGCCCTTTAGGGTTTACGGTTTACGAAGTCAAGGGGGTTGAAGGGTTTGGGCTCTCGGGGCTTAAGGTGTGCAGGCACCTGGGAGGCAATGAGGGCATCTTGAAGGGAAACTGGGGAATCTGGGGACGGCAAGTGCCTGATAGAAATGAGGACCCTGTTACCTCTACAAAGGATCGCTCGGGGGGCTTGAAGCCCGGGTTTAGGCTTTAAAGGGGGTCTCGAGGTTCAGGGGTGAGGGGTTTTGTGACTTGGGTTTCTTCGTCTTCGGTCTTGAGAGGCTTTCGGGCGTTCGAGGCATTTGGTTTTCATGCTTGGTTGTTGTTTTGTTTGCCCGGAGCCTGTGGGGGCTGTGGCTAAGGCTTTGCAAGCTTCAGGTTCTGGCGTCCGCGGAGCTTGGCAATTCGCTTAGAAGCTTTAGGGTCAGCTCGCTAGAGGTCGAAACCTTATCTATGAACCCTGAACACAAATGCTTGGTGAGGCCTGTAGGGTTGCAAGGGACGCGAAGCTGTAGAGTCCTGCGGTTTTAAGTGCGATGGTGGTAGATCCCACGTTCGGGGTCTCTATGTAGCCTCGGCAGTTGTTTAATCTAGGGCTCGGAATCATAGCTCATCATATTCCCTCATCGTCCCTCTGTAATTGAACCATAGTATCCCCCAAAACCCTATTCTCATGATTAAGGGCCCCTGCATTGTTGCGGGCTGCCCCAAGCCTATGATTTCGACACCCCATGGCTTCAGGAAAAGCTCAGAAACCCGTGGCCGAAAGCCTAAACCATATTGATATGGTCAGTTCTTTAATTAAAACATGGTCCCTTTTTTGGGGTTGCTATTATAAGGTGGCCCCTAATCATGTAGGGTGCCCAAAAAAACACCATGTCTTCGAGAAATGTTGCGGCTCCAATTCTAACCCACTCAACCCAAGCCTGAAAAGCCTCCTAACCCTGCACAAGCTCTGCACCAGTCGGGGGTTTAGGGCTTAGGGTTTATAGGGTATAGGTTTTAGAGTGTAGGGTTTTGGGTTTTGGGTTTGCGGCCATTCATACCTATGGCTGATTTTTTTCGTGCCCTATGAACAATTCGAGCAAATCCCGTGGAAGCCCGAAAGCATTCGCGCCCGAAATGTGAACGCAGGGCTGAGTCGGAGCGCCGACGGCTGGAGCTTCTGGTTGGCCCCTGAGAGATGCGACTGGGGTTTAGGGTTTAGGTTTAGGGTCTAGGGTTAGACGAAATGTCCCCCCCCCACCCCACCCAGATGGGTTGAGGGTTCGTGTTTTAGACATCAGTTTCCCTACTACGTTACTTCAAGTCGAAAGAGAAGTAAACCAATGTGCATAAATAACATATCGCGGGACGTACCTCGTGGACACTACAAACACTGCTTTTTTAGATATGTATCAAACTAAAACTGAGAACTAGTCAAAACTTTCTCGTAACACAAAGTGTTAAATAATAATATACTAGTCAACATCGTGAAACACAGTTGGACAGTACCACGACAAGCCGATTTCTCGATTTGTAAACATGGCTCAGTTTTTTGTTAATTTTGGCTTCTGGATGCCTCCAAAGTGCTTCCTGAAAATATTTGGGCGACATGAAGGCGTTTCGAGCGAGTTTTCTTTCAGTGCAGTATATGTACCATGAACCGTTTCGGGTTCCTTCGCCCTGCTTGGTCTTGGCAAGTGTTCCTGGTTGAGGTACGAATCACTGGTCAGAGGCTCTAGAATCTAGAAGGTTTTTGGGGTTCAGGAATGAGGCTTTGTGTTTCGACTGAATCGGAAAGTTCCTTAATGGAATAGAGCCGTGGCACTCAGTCCGGGTGCATGCTGAAAAGCCTAAGCCCTAAACCCTAAACCCTTAACCTTGAAGGGCTCAGGGAAGTCTCATAAATGACTTGAGCTCCAAGAGGTTTTTGCCACATGGAGTTGTTCTAAAGGAAAATCAGGTGCCCTGTTGTGCTAAATTTTAAAGAAGGGTTTAGGGCTTAAGGTTAGGGTTGACGGTTTCGGTTTTTAGAGACCCCTGTAACCAAGCTAGAGGCACCCTGATGTAACATGGACTTCGTCGCGCGGGCGCGCGTGCGCGCGCGCGAGCCTTTTGAGAGCATTGCCCAAGTACAGCTCGGTCCCAACCCTCAGCCCTCAGCGAGCATGGCGAACCGTCAGCCCGAGATCCAGGAGCTCCCCGAGGAGGAGCGGCTCGTGGAGAGGACGTCTGCTCGCGAGGTGGGCCACAGCACGTGGGTTTTATACGAACATGCTTATATAAATAAATAAATAAATAAATAAATAAATAAATAAATAAATAAATATATACATATATATATATATTTTTCTTTTTATAGTAGTGGGCAAAGTTTCTTCTTGTTTCTAGCAATTCTGGCATGTTTGCCAGGCCCCCTGAATCATAGGCGCAGCTGGGGGCGCCCGAGTTCGCGCGGCGCTGGGCGCGGCGCGCGGCTGGCGTGGCGGCGCTGGGTCTCATGGTCTTCGTCGTGGCGCCCAAACTGGGTCTGCCGGTGGGTGCCAAGTCCACGGAGTTCTTGGAAGGCGTTGGCGGACAAGCCTGGCACACGCTCGAGTCAGAGCTGGATGCATCCAAGGAGCTGCCGACGGTCGGCCTCGCCCACATCAGCCCGGCAGCCGGCCAGGTGCTGTGCGTGATCGACGTGGCCCAAGCCGTGGCACGCGTGATGCTGACGGGCACGTTCATCAAGTTCTCCACGGTGGCCTGCGACTTTGACAGGATCGAGGCTGTCAAGAAGCGCCCGGTGAGGAACGACGAGCGGGAGACGTGCGCCTCCGGCATCTTCGGCATCCTGCTGTCGGTGGAGCTTGGCATGGGTGTGATCGCCTCCTCCATCTCTACGTGCTCGGGCTCACTGAACGTCCCTGCGAATTGCGCCGCGAACATCGGCGCTTTCACAGGCGGCCTTTCTGTGCTGATGCAGTCGACCCTCTCCGCCGACCTGATCTGCAACAAAGGCGTCAAGGCCGGCAAGCTGACCCCAGAAGCCAAGATCGACGCCGTGATTTCTGCTGCTACGACTGGCAAGATCACCAAGCAGAAGAAGCAGGTCTCGAAGAGTGTGTACAACTATCTCAAGAAGGCCGGCGTCGACGTGAGTACGCTGCCAGCGCCGCCGGCGGTGCCGAACGATGCCGTGTATGGTGCAGTTGCCCGGTGCGTGGCCCAGCTGGACTTGGGTGCCACCTTCGTCATGAGGTTTGCCATCATCCTGGCGGACAGCACCATCCACTGCACCCCAGGAGTCGTCCAAACCGAGGGCCGCGTGTGCGCGGTCGACATCACGGGCATCCTCGCGGTCCTGAGCCTGTCGGTGCGCTTCTTCTCCTTGGCCAGCAACTCGTGCGTGAACATCGTGGGCCGCGCGGACAAGGACGCCAACTGCGTGGCCGCCTGCTCGGGCATCACCGGCTCCACCATGGCCATGACCTCCTCGGGCATGAACTTGGACGCTGCATGCCGCAAGGCCTTTGGCAAGTGGGACCCGGATGCCTGGCCAAGCAACCTGGGGCCCGTCAGCGCCTCCGGCCAGACCCACGGCGAGGAGCTCCATGTCCCTGCCAGGGACGGCAACACCATCATCGCAGAGCCGTGAAGGTCGTGAAAAGATGGAGGGCAATTGGCCGACGAGGGGGCTTCTAATGTGGCAATGTTTTTAGTTTTAGAAATCATTGTGTTTTCCATACACAACTTTGTGCCGAGTTTTACAAACTGCCTCGCGCAGCGCTGTGACCCTATCATTGTCAATCCCTGGTCATCATAGAGGTGATTGCGCAGAGAGCGGCAGCCGACTAGGTCCGACAGCAGATGCTTGCCTTGTAGGCTGTATGTTCTTTCAGGTTGCGCCCTAAGCTCTAAATCCTAAACCTACATCATTCTCTCATGTATCCTAATTTGCCATTGCAAGGTAACAGTTTTGTGCAGGCACAGCACTGTGCGAGAGCCCCGAAGGACGAAGGCCCTGAGACGCCTTGAGGGCTCGCAGGTGCCTCGATTGTCTTCCAGGTGCGCTACTGCTTGGAGGATCGGGGGACAGTCTAGGACCCAGAGTAGGCAGTAGTAGCCCTCATATTCCCTTTTAGGGTTGAGGTTCCCTGATAAGGGGAGGGTACCCTTTTTCTTCCTCGGGTACTCTTGGGGAAGTCCCGAACCTCCCAGTGCGCACCCCCCCCTCCCCACCGCCGATCCATCACGGAACGGCAGGCTGATGCTCTGACAGCTCAGCCGGTTTTGAGAAATTCGGAGAAGCTGAGCATGGCTGTATAGGGTTAGGGTTTAGGGTTTAGGGTTTAGGGTTTAGGGTTTAGGGTTTAGGGTTTAGGGTTTGAGCATGGCTGACATCTGTGAATGCAGTCGCAGCCGTGTGCCTTTGTGCCGTGATTCCATCCATTATGCTCTCCATTCCTTGATTGCATCGCCCGTGGCGTGGAGCAGTCGAGTCTTGACAAGCAAGCTACCTTGGTTCGGTGCGAAAAAGGCAAGTCTGCCACGACTCCTGTAACCGTCGTGTGCAATGTATCTCCAGTAGTCGTATTGTAGTAGTAGTCGTATTGTAGTTGTAGTAGTAGTAGTAGTAGTAGTAGTAGTAGTAGTAGTAGTAGTAGTAGTAGTAGTAGTAGTAGTAGTAGTAGTAGTAGTAGTACGTAGTAGTAGTAGTAGTAGTAGTAGTAGTAGTAGTAGTAGTAGTAGTAGTAGTAGTAGTAGTAGTAGTAGTAGTAGTAGTAGTATTAGTAGTAGTAGTAGTAGTAGTAGTAGTAGTAGTAGTAGTAGTAGTAGTAGTAGTAGTAGTAGTAGTAGTAGTAGTAGTATTATTAGTAGTATTAGTAGTAGTAGTAGTAGTAGTAGTAGTAGTAGTAGTAGTAGTAGTAGTAGTAGTAGTAGTAGTAGTAGTAGTAGTAGTAGTAGTAGTAGTAGTAGTAGTAGTAGTAGTAGTAGTAGTAGTAGTAGTAGTAGTAGTAGTAGGACTAGTAGCACTAGTAGCACTAGTAGCACTAGTAGCACTAGTAGCACTAGTAGCACTAGTAGCACTAGTAGCACTAGTAGTACTAGTAGTACTAGTAGTAGTAGTAGTAGTAGTAGTAGTAGTAGTAGTAGTAGTAGTAGTAGTACTAGTACTACTAGTACTACTAGTACTACTAGTACTGCTAGTACTAGTTCACTGGTCAGAGGCTCTAGAAGGTTTTTGGGGTTCAGGATTGAGGTTTTGTGTTTCGACTGAATCGGAAAGTTCCTTAATGGAATAGAGCCGTGGCACTCAGTCCGGGTGCATGCTGAGAAGCCTAAGCCCTAAGCCCTAAACCCTTAACCTTGAAGGGCTTAGGGAAGTCTCATAAATGACTTGAGCTCCAAGAGGTTTTTGCCACATGGAGTTGTTCTAAAGGAAAATCAGGTGCCCTGGATGTGCTAAATTCGAAAGAAGGGTTTAGGGCTTAGGGCCTGGGGTTGACGGTTTACGGTTTATGGGTTTAGAGACCCCCGTAATCAAGCTTGAGGCACCCTGATGTAGCAATTATGAACCTCGTCGCGGGCGTGCGAGCCTTTTGAGAGCGTTGCCCAAGTACAGCCGGTCCCAGCCCAGACTCAGCGAGCATGGCGAACCGTCAGCCCGAGATCCAGGAGCTCCCCGAGGAGGAGCGGCTCGTGGGGAGGACGTCTGCTCGCGAGGTGGGCCACAGCACGTGGGTTGTATACGAACATGTTGATATATATATATATATATATTTTTTTTTTTCTTTTTATAGTAGTGGGCAAAGTTTCTTCTTGTTTCTAGCAGTTCTAGCATGTTTTCCAGGGCCCCTGAATCATAGGCGCAGCTGGGGGCGCCCGAGTTCGCGCGGCGCTGGGCGCGGCACGCGGCTGGCGTGGCGGCGCTGGGTCTCATGGTCTTCGTCGTGGCGCCCAAACTGGGTCTGCCGGTGGGTGCCAAGTCCACGGAGTTCTTGGAAGGCGTTGGCGGACAAGCCTGGCACACGCTCGAGTCAGAGCTGGATGCATCCAAGGAGCTGCCGACGGTCGGCCTCGCCCACATCAGCCCGGCAGCCGGCCAGGTGCTGTGCGTGATCGACGTGGCCCAAGCCGTGGCACGCGTGATGCTGACGGGCACGTTCATCAAGTTCTCGACGGTGGCCTGCGACTTTGACAGGATCCAGGCTGTCAAGAAGCGCCCGGTGAGGAACGACGAGCGGGAGACGTGCGCCTCCGGCATCTTCGGCATCCTACTGTCGGTGGAGCTTGGCATGGGTGTGATCGCCTCCTCCATCTCCACGTGCTCGGGCTCACTGAACGTCCCTGCGAATTGCGCCGCGAACATCGGCGCTTTCACAGGCGGCCTTTCTGTGCTGATGCAATCGACTCTCTCCGCCGACCTGATCTGCAACAAAGGCGTCAAGGCCGGCAAGCTGACCCCAGAAGCCAAGATCGACGCCGTGGTTTCTGCTGCTACGACAGGCAAAATCACCAAGCAGAAGAAGCAGGTCTCGAAGAGTGTGTACAACTATCTCAAGAAGGCCGGCGTCGATGTGAGTACGCTGCCAGCGCCACCGGCGGTGCCGAACGATGCCGTGTACGGTGCAGTTGCCCGGTGCGTGGCCCAGCTAGACTTGGGCGCCACCTTCGTCATGAGGTTTGCCATCATCTTGGCGGACACCACCATCCACTGCACCCCAGGAGTCGTCGAAACCGAGGGCCGCGTTTGTGCGGTGGACATCACGGGCATCCTCGCCGTGCTGAGCCTGTCCGTCCGCTTCTTCTCCCTGGCCAGCAACTCGTGCGTGAACATCGTGGGCCGTGCGGACAAGGACGCCAACTGCGTGGCCGCCTGCTCGGGCATCACCGGCTCCACCATGGCCATGACCTCCTCGGGCATGAACTTGGACGCTGCATGCCGCAAGGCCTTTGGCAAGTGGGACCCGGACGCCTGGCCAAGCCAGCTGGGGCCTGTCAGCGCCTCCGGCCAGACCCACGGCGAGGAGCTCCATGTCCCTGCCAGGGATGGCAACACCATCATCGCAGAGCCGTGAAGGTCGTGAAAAGATGGAGGGCAATTGGCCGACGAGGGGGCTTCTAATGTGGCAATGTTTTTAGTTTTAGAAATCATTGTGTTTTCCATACACAACTTTGTGCCGAGTTTTACAAACTGCCTCGCGCAGCGCTGTGACCCTATCATTGTCAATCCCTGGTCATCATAGAGGTGATTGCGCAGAGAGCGGCAGCCGACTAGGTCCGACAGCAGATGCTTGCCTTGTAGGCTGTATGTTCTTTCAGGTTGCGCCCTAAGCTCTAAATCCTAAACCTACATCATTCTCTCATGTATCCTAATTTGCCATTGCAAGGTAACAGTTTTGTGCAGGCACAGCACTGTGCGAGAGCCCCGAAGGACGAAGGCCCTGAGACGCCTTGAGGGCTCGCAGGTGCCTCGATTGTCTTCCAGGTGCGCTACTGCTTGGAGGATCGGGGGACAGTCTAGGACCCAGAGTAGGCAGTAGTAGCCCTCATATTCCCTTTTAGGGTTGAGGTTCCCTGATAAGGGGAGGGTACCCTTTTTCTTCCTCGGGTACTCTTGGGGAAGTCCCGAACCTCCCAGTGCGCACCCCCCCCTCCCCACCGCCGATCCATCACGGAACGGCAGGCTGATGCTCTGACAGCTCAGCCGGTTTTGAGAAATTCGGAGAAGCTGAGCATGGCTGTATAGGGTTAGGGTTTAGGGTTTAGGGTTTAGGGTTTAGGGTTTAGGGTTTAGGGTTTAGGGTTTAGGGTTTAGGGTTTAGGGTTTAGGGTTTAGGGTTTGAGCATAGCTGACATCTCTGAATGCAGTCGCAGCCATGTGCCTTTGTGCCGTGATTCCATCCAGTATGCTCTCCATTCCTTGATTGCATCGCCCGTGGCGTGGAGCAGTCGAGTCTTGCAAGCAAGCTAACTTGGTTCGGTGCTTCTGCGCCCTGAAAAAGGCAAGTCTGCTACGCCTTGCTGCAACCGTCGTGTGCAATGTATCTCCAGTAGTAGTAGTAGTAGTAGTAGTAGTAGTAGTAGTAGTAGTAGTAGTAGTAGTAGTAGTAGTAGTAGTAGTAGTAGTAGTAGTAGGAGCAGCAGCAGCAGCAGTAGCAGTAGCAGTAGCAGTAGTAGTAGTAGTAGTAGTAGTAGTAGTAGTAGTAGTAGTAGTAGTAGTAGTAGTAGTAGTAGTAGTAGTAGTAGTAGTAGTAGTAGTAGTAGTAGTAGTAGTAGTAGTAGTAGTAGTAGTAGTAGTAGTAGTATAGTAGTAGTAGTAGTAGTAGTAGTAGTAGTAGTAGTAGTAGTAGTAGTAGTAGTAGTAGTAGTAGTAGTAGTAGTAGTAGTAGTAGTAGAGAAAGTAGTAGTAGTAGTAGTAGTAGTAGTAGTAGTAGTAGTAGTAGTAGTAGTAGTAGTAGTAGTAGTAGTAGTAGTAGTAGTAGAGAAAGTAGCAGTAGTAGTAGTAGAAGTAGTAGTAGTAGTAGTAGTAGTAGTAGTAGTAGTAGTAGTAGTAGTAGTAGTAGTAGTAGTAATAGTAGTAGTAGTAGTAGTAGTAGTAGTAGTAGTTGTTGTTGTTGTTGTAGTAGCAGTAGCAGTAGCAGTAGCAGTAGCAGTAGCAGTAGCAGTAGCAGTAGTAGTAGCAGTAGTAGTAGTAGTAGTAGTAGTAGTACTAGTACTAGTACTAGCACTAGCAGTAGCTGCCATTTCAGTTGAAGGAATTAAGGCCCTGCCTGGCCAGCACAGGGTCGTCACCGCTCTGTGCACCCGTGCAAGAATGCTTTGACCAGGAGCATCCTGTGAACCAAGTTCAGGTACCCTGTTTCCCTTTGGCGGTTTAGGGTTTAGGGTTTAGGGTTCAGTTAGCCTCTGAGGCCAAGCGCCAGAGCCAGGCCAAGGCTCGGGCCATACGGCGCCAGGACCGTTGTGAGGCCATGGCTGGGGGTTTAGGGTTTAGGGTTTAGGGTTTAGGGTTTAGGGTTTAGGGTTTAGGGTTTAGGGTTTAGGGTTTAGGGTTTAGCTGTTTACAAGTTTGAGAGGGAGGGGCGGGGGGGGGGGGGGGGTGGGTCTTGCGGCGTAGGGTTTACAAGTTGAGAGTTTAGGGTTTCGACGGGTGCTTTGGAAAAAGGGTTTGTACTGGGGCCTATGAGTGGTATTCTTAGATATACCTGGCTGTCTTCTGGTTGGTTCTTTTGGACTTCAACAAGGTTGCTAGACTTTTCAGAATGGGGAGAGTTGGTTTCTCGAATTGGGGTCGGAAGCCAGCCGACTCCCCAGAAAGGCTGTGTGTATTATGAATATGTTGTATTACAAATACACATGTATTTCTTTTCATATTTCAATCATGCACATACATATATATATATATATACACACACCTACATATATATATATATACACATGCGTATAGATGCACACAGATGTGTACATATATGTATAGACAAGAACGTCGCATATATGTATGTGTGTATATTTATATACATATATATATATAATATATTCGTATCAGATCTTCCCTCCATGTCTGGTTGTGATGTTCGTGGCTTGAGGGCCAACAGGGGTACGGGTTTAACGAGCTGACCTTTCGGCTCCCCACTCCCTTTAAGACCCTAAGCGAAACCCTTGAGGCTTGGGGGGTAAGGGGGCTTAGGGTTTAGGATTTTTAGGTTTTAGGGTTTAGGGCTTAGGGCTTAGGGCTTAGGGACCGTGGGTGTAAGGGGAGTTATTACATTTTGTGTCTTTTGCTACGGCTGCTCTAGAACACCCTAAACCTTGTGGCAGCTACGGAGCCCAAAAAGAAGCGGCAACGTCCACTTTGTTCCCTTGTTCTGAACTGCGAGTGATGAAACGGATCTAGACTCTTTTCGGCTTCGTAAGGTGTTAGACCTCGACCCCCTTCAAAGCCTCAACCCGAGCTTAAAGCCTCCGAGCGACCCTTTGTAGAGGTAACAGGGTCCTCAATTTTATTTGACACTTGCCGTCCCCCGATTCCCCAGTTTTTTTTAAAGATTCCCTCATTGCCCCCAGGTACTTGAGGGTCCTTGTGGGGACTCCGAAGCCCAAGCTCCCTAAGCCCCGAAAGCCCAAGCAAACCCTTAAGCCCTAAAGCACCTAAACCTTAAACCCTACACCCCAAGCAAAACCTAAACCTTATAAGGGTGTTTTAGGGTTTGTGGTGTTCCCGGAGCCAAGTTGGGCACCGGCCATGGGTATGCACCGGCCATGGGTATGTAACCTAAACCTTACGCAAACCAAGCCGACGCCAGAAGCATAAACTCCAAACCCTAAACCCTAAACCCTTTAAACCCTAAACCCTAAACCCTACAGGGGTTCAGGGTTTCTCCCCGTCGTGCCATGCCAGGCGCGCATACGGCAAATTCTTGCAACCTGGTCGAAAGTGGAGCGCTCTGTGCGAGTGCCAGAAGCTCAGCGATAACTTCTGCGAGCTTAGGGTACCCCACAAGAACTCTCGGTAAACCCTAAACCCTAAACCCCCTAACCCCTAGTTGAGTTTGGGATAGACTTGGGTGTGGCCCACGGATGGAGAACCTTAAGTTGTAAGCATCAGGAGGGCTCGGGGTCTTCACCAGAGGGAAGGCGCCCGAGGTCGATGGGAGGTTGAAGCTGGGTGCTTTGGGGTTTTTATTCTTAGTGGCCCAGTGGTACCCTTTACCCCTTTTTTTGGTTTATGGCTTCCCTTATAAAGTAACCAACCCCAAAAAGGGTAAAAGGGTGCCCTTATTGTAAGATGGTTACTGGGCTACCAAGTATTGTTGTTTGCAGAATAACCACCCCCAACGAATACACAAAAAAACTCTTCCTTATATGGGCCAGCATAGGCGCACCCCCCCCCCCCCCCCCCCCCCCCCCTCCCCCCCCCCCCATGGTCCCCCCCCCCCCCTGTGGTTTCATGGTGGGTTTTGGGTTCCCTCCCCCCCCCCTGTGGTTCATGGTCTGTGGTTCATGGGTTAGGGTTTAGGGGTTTAGGGTTAGGCTTTAGGGTTCAGGATTTTCACTCTGGTCCATTGGTTCACTGTGGGTTTAGAGTTTGATTTGGGTTCAAGGTTCGGGGTAAGGATAGGTTTACGGTTTCCCCTCTCCCCCCTGTGGTTCGTGCTGGGTTCAGAGTTAAAGCAGCAAAGGTTTCGGGTTTACCCTTCTCCCTCGCGTCGTTCATTGGTGGTTTTAAGTTTTAGGGCTAGGGTTCAGGGTTTGGGGTTTAGGCTGAGGCTTCTCTGTCCCCCCCCCCCCCCCCTGTGGTCCGTGGTGTTTTTAGGGTTAACAGGCAGGGGGTTGCCGGGGGGGGGGGATACCATTGGGGGGGTAGTATGTCGGGATGTTCCTCCTTATGCTAGGGCTTAGGGTTTAGGCTTCAGGGTTTAGGGTTTAGGGGCCAGCTGTCCGAGTCACCCACACCAATGAGTGGAGGAGGAGGAGGAGGAGGGGGGGCATTCTGTCCGAAGCATCGACGTCCTGTACGACACAGGATCTGCATGGAAGTCACCCCCAATTATAGGGTTCGTAAACGAGGGGGGTTGGGTTTTGGGGGTCATTCTAGCTTTCCCGAAAAAGGACCATAAGGCAATATGTTTTGTAATTCTTCGGACCCCTATATTATGTAACCCAAGGTTCCGAATCCTCCGCACTACTCCCTAAGGCCCCCTAAGCTTTTCTAAGGTTCCCTAGGTACCACCCCCCCTCCCTTAGGGACACTGTAACCCAAGTTCAATGGACCCTAAACCCTTCAGACCCTGAACCCTTTGAATCGGCCAAAACGGCGCTAAACCCTTAAGACCCTGAACCCTTCAAGCGGAAGAAGCTTCACTATGTATGTCTCACCGGGAGCAACGATTCGAAAGGCATCCAACCCTAAAACCCTAAACTCCGACTTAAGGGTCCAAGGTAGAACCCCTAGAACAATCTCCAAGATCCCTAAGCCCTAAACCCTAAACCTTAAACCCTAAGCCCTAAACCCGATAAACCCTCCAGTCGAGGTGCCAGCGCCGGCTGACAAGAGTGAGCTCTGCCAAACTGTCCT